GGTATTTGTTCCTTTTCTTACTTTGCATGTATCATATTGTTTCTTTATACCTTAAAGATACATTTCTACAGTAGGACCGTATACCATTTACCACCAACAATCAAATGAAATTATGAGTATAAACATTATTAGAGATGCATCAATATGTACTATACTGTTGTAGTTAACACATACAATGATACTTATGATACTGCATAGACTAATATTATAAGATATGTTATATTTATTTATTAATTGTATCAGTTTTATTCCACTCATGGCAATTATTATAAAACAAAACATTGGACACTTTAAGCAGTTTTTTTTGTAGACCATGAGTAATGACTTTCATAGAAAGTGATATGAAAGTATCTCCACTGTACAGAGATGTGTTATAATATATTTAAAGGAAAATTGAAATGAAATGCACATACTTAAGTTTACACCTAATTAAATATGGACCGCTAACAGTTAAGCTACTTCTTTCTTTAAAATATCACAGAGCTACATTTAAAAATACTACATTGCCCATAAATGCACATATTGTTTTGATCAAGTTGGTCTTTAAAAATATATTTATATCAAGTTTTGTTAACTTAATTAAAGATAGTGATGTTTTTTTTACTGTACATCCACAAACCTTGTTACGAATGAACGATTTAAAGTTATCTGTCCTGCTACATGTTTATCGTTCCAACTATGACTTGGGTATTTGGCATACCAAAACATTTTCTGTTTGTTTTTGCTGTCCATCAAACACTGACCAACACAGTGGTATCTGCACAGGTTAAGGCTCCCTATCAAATGACTGCTAGTTTAGCCATTTGCTGCCACCTAGAGGTGAACATGAAAACTGCAGACACAGTTTTCTGAGCCTGGCTGATGGTGTGCATCTGCTCTGAATTACCAAACTCCTGGGCCGCCAACCCCCCCCCCCAGTCCCCTCATCCTCTCCTCACATTAAACTGACACATCCTCTGCACCCACTCGGACACCCCTTCCTCGGTCTGCCCACTTCCACTCAACTCCTCAACTTCCGAATCTCTGTGGTTTATCGAAAGAATTTCCAGCACTCAGTTACCTGCTTGTAAATATCAGAGATTCAGAATGAATGTCCAAGTTTTATAAACATACCTTTAGTGCTGGGATTTCCACAGTGTCATTGATGGCCAGCGACCCCTGCAGGATGGTGCCTGTCATGACTGTTCCCTGACCACGGATAGAGAAGCAATGGTCCACAGCCATCAGGAGGTCACCTTTGGGGTCTCTCTGGGGGAGGTACGTCTGTTTCTTCAAAAGCTGATACAGACCACCAAGAGGGCAAGAAGAAAAATATATTTGATCACACAAAAGATAACCACTGTCATTATTCTGCAAGGGTACACGATTTTAAATGTTTTTTCTTTATTTTAGTTTGGGTGCTTTAGTATCATTTCCTAAAGAGAATATGAATATATTATATATGATATATAAAACAACAAATACAGTGATTAACAGTTTGCCTTTAACCACCGCCATGTTTTACTTTCAGTGTTTACTTTGTTGATTGAACAAATAATCTATTATGTTTTTTCCTCTGAGAATTTTCTTAAGCATTTTATCACCAATTGACAATGACATCTGACTCGCAGCACTTGTTCTTAAGTGCATAAGTGAGAACTTATGTGCACTTTTGAGCTAAATTAGTAACAATGGAGGGGGACCAGTGTGTTTCCGGAATTTACCTCTATTAACTCTGGCACTGCTTGTGGCTCCTCTGTGTCAGGAGCCTCCGGGCCCCCAGGCTTCGCTGCCACAGCAATCACTGGACATTCCTTAAATCTGGCCAACAGAAAAACAGTTGTATTGAAAATATTTCATGCTTTGATGTTGAAGTAATGGATAAAGTTTCTTTGAATAAGAAACAAGTGGGTCTGACAGACAGACACTGGAATGCAGGCAGGGAGACAGAATGTGTAATGAGTGAGGAAGTCTGACAGAGATTCAGTCCTGCCGGCCACCGGGAGTACGCGGGATGCCATAACCCACACTTCCACAGAATTCCCCACCATATTATTAAACTTGCATAAATGCAGACCTGGTGTTCTCCAGGGTTTTGTGCAGCCTCTTGGTCATTTTCTCAATGGCACTCTGTCTTTTGTTGGGAGGCAGCAGGTCGATCTTGTTGAGAACAACCACCATGCGAGGGCAGGTCAGCTCTCCTATCAGCAGACACTCTGCAGTCTGAGTCTGCACGCCTTTCACCACGTCAACCACCAGCATCATCAGGTCAATTATTTGGGCACCTAGAGAAGGCAGAAAATGAAAAAACAATAATCAATAGGATGTAAGATATAACTGACTTGGAAGAAAAGCCGCAAGCAACTATGAAAAGATGTAGGAACTGTGAGTAGAGACTATGAAGCCGACAACAGCAATATAAACAGGAATGGATATAGATACCTAAAAATAACAGTTGAACAAGAAGAGAAATTAGGGGAGGGGTGCACTGAAGCAAAGAGATGAAAAGGCTAGAGGGTTGAAACCAGAGCTGCAGCTCACTTGGTTGTCTTTCCTTTCCCTGGCACACTCTCTTTCCTGTGTTCTCCTCTTTTCTCTCCTTCTATTTGGCTCCCTCTCTTTCCTGTGCTCTCCCCACTTGGGACAGAAGGGGAAGTTTAATGCATACCCCAATCCCCACACTTTCCTTCCTCCCTAATCTACAGCATGTGCCACCCCACTGGCTCATCGATTTAATTTAGAATGTGTGCAACCCTGCACAGCAGTATTTATTAAGTGCATTTAGTCTGATTTATTACCATGACTTTTACTTATATCAGAGTCTGTATATTACACTCTTTAGGTTTTAATAAGTCTGCTTAGAGAAAGCAGGTAATAGAGAAAGTGTCCCTCTGAGTTATCGTTCTCATGTATCTGGTCTTGAACCCACTGTAGTTTAGGGCTGCTCAATTAATCATATTTTAATCGCAATTACGATTTTGGCTTGCAACGATTGTGAAAACAACACTATAAAAATAAAACGATTATTTATTTATTTTTCAGTTGAATTATACTTAAAGTTCAGGGTAATCAACTGTTAAAAACATACTGTTCACATTTTATTTTTTTCAATAAATGGATGTTTTCAAAGTAAATGGATAATCGTTTTTAATAATCGTGATATCAATTATTGACCCAAATAATCGAGATTATGATTTTTGCCATAATCGAGCAGCCCTTATTTCTAACAATCCCAACATCTAAGTCAATATAGCAGGATCAACCCAGAGGCTGGAAGAGAAAAGACTCCCTCTGCTGGATAGGTTCATGTGTGTGTGATAACAGTGAGGAGGATGTAGTGTAAGCACAATGCTACTGTCACCATGACTGCAGCATTTATTAGACGAACACAGACATTGGACATTCGTATTATTTTGTGTTCTACTATGATCTGTGATTGACACACTGGTACTTATACGTAGTACGAAAACAGTTTAGGTGAACTTTATAACCTTCACAAAATGTAAAATGTATGTGTTAGGGCTGTTGTGTTGGACTGCATGTGTGTGTACTTAATATACAGTGTGTGGAACTGTGTGTGGAGGGTGAGGTATGGTTGCTGTGGCCTCAGCTTGTATTATATACCACTAATATAGGTCACCAAATCGTGACTTTATCCTATTTGTTTACCATTCTTTTATTTGCTGTCATTAGCAGTCTTGATGGAAGTAGTTAGATGTTTGACTTTAGTGAAACTGAATACCACACTGTGTACTCTGTTGTAAAAAAGTCCTGCATTGAAAATATAATTGAAGTATGTAAAAATGTACTAATGTACTTAAAGACTTCAAAGTAAAAGTGGTCAATGTAGAACACAATGAAAATAGTATGTTCTGTTAAACAGCTAGTCGATTATATGACTAATTGTTTCAACTCTACTGGTTTACGATGTTAGGTAGTGTAGTTGAATGTACAACAACATCGTAATCTATAAACTAACTAGTAACAAAGTAGAAGTATAAAGTAGCATTGAAATAAAAGGCTCAAGTAAAGCACCATACATGTGTACTGTACAGTTCTTGTGTGACTGCACATAGTTACATCTAGCACCAACACACTTGCAGAGAATTCAGAGAGCTCACCCCCAATGATAGTCCGAATAAGAGAGGCGTGTCCGGGACAATCCACCAGGGTAAACTGCAGATTGTCATACTGCTTCTGGCCTTCGCTGTCCCGCAGGTGGTCGGGAAGCTCCACCGTGAAGGAGGAGAAGCCGAGGTCAAGCGTGATGCCTCTCTCCCGGGACTGCGGGTTCTTGTCGAAGGCAGCAGTGGAGGCGGTGCTGCTCAGCGACCTGGCGAGCGATGTCTTCCCGCTGTCGACATGTCCGAGAACCCCAACGTTGAAATTCAACGTTTTTGTCCGACTGTCAGCCGACTCTGACATTTCTACACCAGTTGGATGTAATGTTAACCGGCTTGCGAATGTTGTTTACTTCGAGCTGGACCTTGAACTCAGCTCCAGCGTAAAACTGAGTTATTTGCTGTCTTTTCATTTGTTGACACACATAAAACACCTTCAACAACACGCTTTTGTTATAAGTAGTGGCTTACAAAACATATACAGCTATAAAAAAGACTTTAAAGTTACTTTAGCATTCAAACACATGAGATAAACGTCTTCCTCGTTGTCAGTGCTCTCCGTACTCGAGACAACATGCTAAAGCGGAACGGTTGTGTTCAGGAGCAAACAAATATAAAACAGCGGTTAACTGACTTGACATCAAATACACTTCATTAAAACTTCAATGTACAATTTCAATGGTGTGATGAATCCCCTCTATCAATAAGTTCTGCATTCATTCGAGACTCTTATTTACACTTTGACAAGTTTCTAGCCGTTTCTACTACGACAAAAGCAAGTGAAACACAAGCGGAAATGAAAATGTCGATGACAATGAATGGCGTGGATTACAGCCAATGAATGTGTCGCGTCAGCCGACATCAGCCAATAGTTTTACTTGACGGAGTTGGGCGGGACTTCCGGGTATCACTTCCGCTAACTTTCCCTAGTTACCCACATGGAAACCAATTTCCCTGTGTTTTGAGTTTCGGCGCCGATTGTAGCAGCGATAATTGCCTGACTCACGGGGATATTTGATTCGCCGTAAACCAGCCTTACCGTTTTTACTCCTCATATTTGTAAAGTAACAGTAACTATGAAGATCGAAGAGGTAAAAAGCACCACTAAAACTCAGCGGATCGCCACTCACAGTCACGTCAAGGGACTGGGGCTAGACGAGGCCGGGAATGCTAAACAGTCAGCATGTGGTCTGGTCGGCCAGGAGGCTGCAAGAGAGGTAATGTTCATGTTTCACTGCACTCGCTTTACTCTTGTATTGTTTAGTGGACCGCCACTAAGCGCTGAGGATATTTTCCAGCAATGATTTTGCTAAGAGCATGCAGGTGCACCACCAAGCTAGTTCCGTTAGCACTGTGGTGTCGCTGTTTCACACTAAGGTCAGAGGTGAGCTAAAGGGAAAGCACCTTAAATAGAAATCACATTCATATTTTATTGTAAGAGAATGCATGTACTATTAATAAGTACATATTCTATTTATATAAAGAGCATATTCACAAGTTGTCTACAGATATATAAATCTAGTCATCTTGATGTTCTGATTTCCAGTCTAAGGAGACACCTGACTTCTTAGGGATGCAATGCTGTCTAAAATATAGTATCACAGATGGATAGATTGGCCAGGGTTTTATTGTACTTTGGGGACAAAGCAGACATTTGAGTATAGTATCTAAAAGCTATCAGCTTTGAATTCAATTGTAACTTGACTCAGACTGGGTATCCCACAACCAGCTACTTGTATTACATTCAATTCCTGTTTTCCATTGGATGTCTATATTCATTATGTTTAATTGTTTCCACTCTCCAGGCTTGTGGAATCATTGTCGATCTGATCCGTTCAAAGAAGATGTCTGGAAGGGCAGTGTTACTGGCAGGGCCACCTGGTACAGGAAAGGTAAGTGTGTAGTGTTCCTTCAATGGCAATAGTGTCAAGGCTTTTATTGTCATTAGTGCATAGCTACAGTGTAGTTATGACAATGAAAATCTTAGGTCACAGGCTCCTCCAACAGTGCAACACAATAAACAGATAAAATAGTACAGGAAAATAAAATAGAATATAATAGAAAGTGCAGAATAGTTTATATAATTGGAATATTGATATATATATATATATATATATATATATGAGTTGCAAACAGATGAATGTTATGGATGTTCTTTCAAAAGTTCAGGTGTTTAACAGTCTTGTGACCTGTGGGATGCAATAGAGCAGTATTGCTTAGTTTAATGTTGCTGTAGATGCTGACTCTTTTTTTATTTGATCCTCCAGACTGCCCTCGCGTTGGCTATGGCACAGGAGTTGGGAAACAAGGTGCCTTTCTGTCCCATGGTTGGCAGTGAAGTCTACTCGACAGAGATTAAAAAAACAGAAGTATTGATGGAGAATTTCAGGAGAGCTATTGGTGAGTGTCACTTAAATAAGAACTGGCTCCTTGGTCATCACTTATATCCCCCAAATCAGTCAGTGGAACTGAGGGTTTGGTAGACCCTGATCTGTCAGGGCCTATCAAAAGTCTCATCGGCTGAACACAAGGGCCATTTTTATATATGGGCAAAGATTTTATCAAAAGCAATAATAAGGCCATTTTAAAGCAAATGTTTAAATGAAGGAAAATGCAGATAATAAACAGATGTCATCTTATCACCAGACTTTCTCTTAGCCGAAAAAGGTCTAATTTAAAACCACAGCAGGGTCCATGGATTATCCTGACCTCTCCACTTCATACAGAGTATGACTAGATTACACTCAGATTAACCAAGATTTATTTTCAATTTACTCTTCCTCTCTTGGTGTCAAACAACTTTATAGGGGAAGGGAAGAGTCATTGGGCAGAGAGAGCATGGTGTCCTCCTAACACACACCGTTCTCATCAGCTGAAAGGCGAACTTGACCGGGTGTATGAGAATGTTGTTGAGAAGGAAGGAAGGCTGATAAAGGGACAGGGTTGGTCTGACTGCTGATGGTACCTGTCTCAGGGTAGGAAATGGAGCTTAGGTAGAGGGAGAGGTGGTCATCAGCACCTTTTGCTCCTCCCCTAGAACAGGATACAGAGGGGGGTGGGGGTTTCATTTTGAAGTTGTCATCACTCTGCTGATAAGAGCGGACACTCCTCGCCTTACTCTTTGCTGTGTGACCCTCCCCACAGCAGATCAGCCACCTGTGTGCTGCTCATACTCCGTGCCGGTCTGCATGAAAGAGCAACAAGACTCGGATCATATTACACAAGATGATGCCCATACATATTAGTGGCACACGCACACATGCTCCCTCTCTGTAATAAAATGCTTTTTTCAGTAGACTGAAGGAAGTGGCGGCTTAGTTGACACAGGAATATAAAGACCAGATTGAGCTCTCACTCTGCACTGCGCCTGTGAGTGACTGTAATGTCGCCCACATTCAGGACTGCGTATCAAAGAAACAAAGGAGGTGTATGAAGGGGAGGTGACAGAGCTGACCCCCTGTGAGACAGAGAATCCCATGGGCGGCTACGGGAAAACCATCAGCCACGTCATCATTGGTCTGAAGACGGGCAAAGGCACGAAGCAGCTCAAGGTCAGACTGGAGCTGTAATCCTTTCCTTTCTTTTTTCTATTTACTGCATCTAAAGCACACAAGATGGTGCACTTATACACCTAGTCAAAGTAAATACATTTATGTTACGTTGTCATTTTTTAAGGTACTTTGCACATGTGTTTAACTTGCATATCAGCAATAACATTCATCTTGCAACCAGATTGTGTTCGATTTGATTCTCTCTTCCTCCAGTAGTATAGAGTATTCTTAAACCCTTTTTGTCCCCAACACTGACCAGTTGTTAAGGAGCTGTTTCTTACATGAAAACGTTTTGTCTTGTTTCCTTAGCTCGATCCTAGTATTTATGAGAGTCTTCAGAAAGAGCGAGTGGAACAGGGAGATGTCATCTACATTGAAGCAAACAGTGGAGCTGTCAAGGTATTTGTGATGTCTTTCATGTGTTCATCCCTCCCTACTGCTGTCACACATTTTATAAAAGTAGAAAGAGATGTAAATACAATGCTTTAATTTAGTGATAAGCCACAAATGCAACATTAAGACATATTTGATCAATTCAAATGTCAGTGTATTCTGTCATCTTGCCTGTCTTCTTCAGTCCTTCATGGTGGTGTCCTTTCATCTCTTTCAGCCCTGCTGCATTTCTCCTGTACTCTGAATCAAGCCTTTCTCATTCCTGCACCTCTTCATGCTCCCTCTATCTCTCCATCTCCCTCAATGCTTCTTTGACAGGCCACGATGACGGCTCCTTTAGTCGGTGCAGGTGGGCTAGGGGCGCAAATCAGGAGGGCTGGACAACACATTTGTTACTGTTGAAAGCTGTATCATGACGTGCCCTCTGAAGCCCTTTGATCCCTCAGCTGCTCCTGGCACTAGGTTCAATCATACACCTGCTCTGGCTCCATCTCTTCTTTCACTGTCCAGAGCAATGTGGCCATTACTCCCTGTGGGTCAAATGTAAATTAATTGTATTAATACATATTGTTATACTGTGTCTTTACAGAGACAAGGTCGTTGTGACACCTTTGCTACAGAGTTCGACCTGGAGGCAGAGGAGTATGTGCCGCTGCCTAAAGGTGATGTCCACAAAAAGAAGGAGATAGTCCAAGACGTCACACTGCATGACCTTGATATTGCAAATGCCAGACCCCAGGTATGTTACTGCAAAAGCCTTGTCATTTACTGTAGCTGCTTACATAAACAAAATAGTACCAGTTTACAGCTATTCCCTACAAGTTTACAAATAATTACTGTTGCATTTCAGGGAGGCCAGGACATTCTCTCCATGATGGGACAGCTGATGAAGCCAAAAAAGACAGAAATCACAGGTAAAGGAAACCTGAACGCGTCACAGTCTAGTCTACACCCCCAGCTGGATTAGCGACTAGTTGACTTGTGTTTGATTCATTACCGTTTTCTCTTCTGGTTATAGATAAGCTTCGTAATGAGATCAACAAGGTGGTGAACCGCTACATCGACCAGGGCGTAGCTGAGCTGGTTCCTGGTGTTCTGTTTGTGGACGAGGTGCACATGCTGGACATCGAATGCTTCACATACCTCCACAGAGCACTGGAGAGCACCATCGCCCCTATCGTTGTGTTTGCCTCCAACAGAGGAAACTGTTTAATTAGGTAGGAGGTCTAAAGCGTTTTGGGAGGAAAGAAAATACATTTTTAAAACACAACAGATATGATATTTTTTGATGTAAAATGTGTAGTATTCAAAGTGATTTGTTTCTCAACAGGGGAACAGAGGACATCTGCTCTCCACACGGGATTCCTCTTGACTTGTTAGACAGAGTCATGATAATCCGCACAATGTTGTACACATCACAGGAGATGAAGCAGGTGAGTCTAAGTACCTCCAGTTCAGTGTAGAACATTCAGGAAACCAGAAACTTTTTCCCTAACAATAGGGGCGTTTATAAAATATTGGGAATAGTAATTAATACATAAAGTGACTGTTTTTAAATTGAAAGCCCTGATTATTAATAAAAACATAATATTGCTGTTCCAAAGAGAAGTGGCCGGCAATCACTTGCATGTCCGGGAACTTCTAACAAAAAAATGGTTGTCCCTAAATCCCAGTTTTTTTGGTGCCTTCTGACATTTCTTAGGGTGTCACTAATGATGTTGTGGTTTGTAGATCATCAAGATCCGTTCTCAGACTGAGGGGATCACCGTTAGCGAGGAAGCACTTACACACCTGGCAGAGATCGGCACCAAGACCACCCTCAGGTAAGACTAAACTTTGCAGAGTGTGGGTGTTTCTCAATCGCGAGTAAAGCTGCTGCAGAGCCACTATTTCAAGCATACTACGTCATCGAGTGCCGCCGAAGTACTGTTCCATTGTCCAGCATACTTGGAAATCTACCGAGCCCGGCGTACTCCGTTTGGAGAAATATCGAGGCTGCACATGAGTAGACTCCGCGGTCTTAAAATCCCCACAATGCTTTGCGCACTGCCCAATTTCCAAAATCTGTGGCGGAAAATGTAAGACGGGGCCTCTCATATGACGCACACTTGCTAGCCTGTTCCACTCTTTGTTTTCCAAATGTCAGGAAGTATTCTTGACTCGCTTCTGAAGCAAGATGCTCGGCAGACATGTGCTACCAAGCAAGCGTACTCGACATTGAGAAACACCCTGTGTCATAATGGAGTGAAGAAGTTGGCAGCTTTACATTGATTGCCCACAGTGGTTTCATAGAAAATTATTTTAACACCTGAACAGGCAATTATCAAGTAAGGTATAGTGTTTTTGTTACCTAAACATTTGTTTTAATATACTTCAAGAAACGTTTGACTCTTGATAAAACAGTCTCCATGTAGTTCTGATGCCTTTTTATATGACCATTTCTATATACAGTAGTTATTCTAAATGTTAGTTATCGGTGCCACTGGTAGTTCTGGTAAATTCAGATGAAACTCCTTCAGCTAAGTATCATACATTTATTATCAGTATCATACATTTAGGACCTGCAACTTCTCCTTGAAGTGGCTTATAGTGTATATACATGTGAGATCATACTGTTACTTCCTGTTTCCTCTCAGGTACGCTGTCCAGCTGCTGACGCCAGCCAGCCTGCTGGGCCGTGTTCAGGGAAAAGAGAACGTGGAGAGGGAGCAGATAGAGGAAATCAACGAGCTGTTCTACGACGCCAAGTCTTCTGCCAAAATCCTCCAAGATCAACATCACAAATTCATGAAATAGACTAATATCATCTTTTTCTTTCACGACTCAAAGGGCTGGTGTTCATCCAGCTGTTAAATGTTTGGCTTTGATTCTTTCTTTTTTCTCAATCTTTACCCTCCATGTGGCTCATTCTAGAGTTGCCACCTCATCTACTGTAGTAGTTTTGTTCTATTCAAGTTGTATTCATTCAGTACGTTCATGAAAATATTTTTTGGAATAAAAAGAAAAAAATAACTCATTGTCATTTATATTTTTTTAACGGTTTATTACATCAATGGACAATTATAATATTGCTGGTACTTCTGACAATGAAAAGTAGAATGGGTGAGACGGAATGGGAAGTCTTGTCACAACAGATTTCCAAAAAAAGTCTTGCCGTTTCTCTCCTATTTCTCATTATTACCCTGTAGATAAATGCTTTGTGACAAAAACTGCAATAATTAAAGAAAACACCAGTATATTGGAACAAGTTTTTCAATGTATTTGTTTAAATATAATACAAATGACAGTACCGTTGTTATATGTTGAGTTGTGTATTTCTATTGGCTCATATTACATTTTTAAAAATCTATTTATTTATCTTTTGACAAAATACTTCTTTGCTCTTAGTCTTTTAACTTTATATTTTTAACATGAAGGATTGTAGTAATTCGACAGATCTGAAGTCATCAGAGCAAATGTTAGCATTTAGCTCGCCAGACCCGCCACTGTGTGTCCCTAGGAAAACACAACTTTTTCTTACTAATCTTATTTCTTTTTTTAAATGAGTAGAAGACCACCCAGTAGAATCTTCCTTTATGTCTGGTTTATACAAAGAAACACGCTGAAAATGTGTTAGCTTTCTCATTAGTTCAGGTAGAAATATTGAACAACTGAAGAAGTTAACTATCGCTATAATACACATTTCATAACCAAACATAATTAAGTGTTTAACACAGGCTTTAGAATATTGAAGAACACCAAAAAAAGAGGCTTTTACCGAGGCTTTTAGTGGCCTAAAGCACAGCTGGAAAACCAACAGATTCCAAACATGTGTTGTCCAATCATGGTCAGGGAGCCTACTGCTTCTTCCTGATTATTGGTGGACCTGCGCGTGCGTTGAGAACAGTCTCCGTTCCTGCCCTTGCTCCACTGAACACAGAGGGAGCTGCTTTACCAACTTTCTCTGTGAAGAAGGACAAACAACAATTTCATTGTTAATGTGGGAGAGAGAAGGGCAATGTCATTTTGTAGATATGCTCTGTATTATCACACACACACACACACACTTTAAAAAAGTTGTTCCCTTGATGCTTTCACGCAGTCAGTAACTGTCAATCAGCAGCTCTTGTTAGAAGCTTTCTTCCAGTTCAGTCCACCAATTTCCATTTCATTTTAAGTGTGTTTCTTTCTGTATTTGGGCTAGAGCTGGGTCCATGACACACACACACACACACACACACACACACACACACACACACACACACACACACACACACACACACACACACACACACACACACACACACACACACACACACACACACACACACACACACACACACACACAATCCCACTGGGAGACTGTTTGAAAAGAATCTCCCATCATTAAACCCCCCTGTTCTCTCTGTATATGGAGTGGAAACTTCAGCATCATGAGGAAACGCCCCTCGCACAAACTCACTGCCATGGTGTGATTTAACCAGATGCAGAAAGAAAGCTTTCCATCTGTAAGACTAGTGTCAAATCATGATTCCATGTGTGTTTATCATGGTGTTTATGTGCGTGTCCTCACCGCACTCCTGCATAACTTCAGTCGTCTTGCTCTTCGCCGGCCCACTTCTGCCAAGTTTGTTTATTGTTTCATTCAAATCCTCTTCGCTCATCTCAGGACGCTGCATTTCATCTTCTTCCTGCCCTGGCTGGAAGGAATAAAAATATGAGACATCACACATATGAGACTTGTGCAGAAAGTCTTTAATAATATAAGAGAGTGTCCTCCTACCTGAGACATGTTGGTTGAGCAGTTGTAGAAGATATCCTCTCTTGTCAGCTTTCTCTCTCTTTCTCTTGTGAGTCCAGCCCAACATACACACACTGGCATATATACACACCCTAGCAGTGATTCTCCAGAGGACAATAAATCTGTTCTTGAGACTAATAAATGACGTAATAGGTGTATACGCTCCTCCTCCTTTCTGTCTCTGTGTTCTCATGTTTCTGCTGTCCTCCCTGCTGCTTCAAAAGGAAATGATGAGATCACTGCTAGTCTGCTACAACCTTTGGCATTACATTTCCTCTAATAAATCCCAATGATGTAAGAATATGGCAATGTCTCACTCTACATTCACCACCTGGTCATTAGCAAGCCAAGCCATTTGGACTCAAAGTTCAAAAGGTATGACTCAAAAGATAAGTAACTTTCTATCAAGCTTCCCAATAAAGTTAGACCATGGCTGACTCAAGTGCAAATACATGTTCCCACCCCTTCCTGCTCATTCTCCATAATTACATCATTATTCAGCCCTCAGGGACCCTTATTTCAGCGGCCATAAGTACAAAGGAAGGATTAACGAGTAACAAAAGGTGTTTCCAAGCAACATGTCAAACAATGGCTGAACTGAAACCTCTACGGTCCATAAAGTACAAATATGTTAAAAAGCTGGTGCATATTCCCTTACAAAAGATATGTGTAGCAATGATTAACCAACATTCTAATAGTTTTGTGCCATTATGCTTTGTCAGTGGAGTTCGAAACAGATGTCCCCCTGCTTATTTCCCTTGTCGAAAACTAAGCATGTGAGCAAAATAGTGGATGTTAAGTTTAAAATAGACTTCCAAAGAAATTCAACCTGCTTAAACATTTCATGTTTTTACTTCATAAGTAATTATAACACCACAAATATAAATGTATTTTTCTTGTTTAACTGTGTATGGCAATATTCCGTTAACAAAATCATCGTTCTCAAAATACATTCATTTCTAGTAGATCAGCATTATCTAATACAACATATATCATCATGACATGTTTGTATATATTTAAATGGGCCAACACAGGATCGAACACACACACACACACACACACACACACACACACACACACACACACACACACACACACACACACACACACACAGTCAGTTTAAAAAAGTTGTTCCCTTGATGCTTTCACGCAGTCAGTAACTGTCAATCAGCAGCTCTTGTTAGAAGCTTTCTTCTAGTTTAGTCCACCAATTTCCATTTCATTTTAAGTGTGTTTCTTTCTGTATTTGGGCAAGAGCTGAGTCCTTATGAACTGAATTAGCCGAGTCTCTGTGAGAAGAACAGCCACTAACACACCGAGAAGACACGCTGCTCCAACACTGATATGGACGAGCCTTAGCAACCAGCCGCTGTCACAGCAGAACACGCCCTGCAGCCAGAGAGTAAAGAAGCACAAGTTAGGGCTCTTGCACAGGCTCCACTACAGATTAGGCATAAACAACATCAACATCTCATGTCACGATTATCCTGCCCAAAATAGTTCAAATTCAACATATTATCCGAAATATGCCTACATCTTTAATAATGACCCAATAACTTACTGGAATCATTTGAACTAAGATTTCTGTTAGAAAACAATAATTGCATTGCCTCACAGATAGGACACACATTTTTGGTGAATATGCTTTTTAGTGAAAAAACAATCCCATGGTATAAATAGAGTATAAATACTTTTTAAAGAAACTTTTTGGGAGTAAGTTCTTTTTTTGGAAACCAGGCTTTACTTTTCGCTTTGCTACCATAAAAGCCAGCTAGACAACTTTATTGCGAATTCCCCAAAAATCATGTATCGTCCCATCCCTAAGAATGATTATATAGAATACATCAAACTGAAATGCATTGGTTGATATTAAGAGATACAACTTGTTACACGACTCTCTCGTACCTCAGACAGCGCTGTGACAACGGCACTGACAGCCAGAGCCAGCAGGAGGAGCGGGGAGGGCAGCAGGCCCCGCAGAGGTTTCCACTGACTGGACAGGAAGTAGCGGTGAATGTAAAGAACACTGTGCAAGATGCGGAGGCCCATGTTAAGGCAGTTTGCCAGTATGAAGCCCACACTGCCAGCCCACCATGTCAGCATGTAGGACAGGAACAGGAAAGACAGGGAGAGAGCCAGCATCACCAAGTTATACCTGAGGACAAAACACAAATAGGGATTTAACTTACAGGTTACATGAATAAAAGCATGACAATTACTAGAAATACTGAGACCTATGTAATTCCCCTGTATGACATTCACAAGCAAAAGCACAAACATAAAAGAGGGAGGTAGGTGCACATAAAATAAATACATAAGTTAATATAAAAACAAATAACATGCAAATATAGGAGGTGATATCCTCTAGGCCAGTGCTTCTCAACATGTGGTCCACGGAACACTGGTGGTCCGTGAGTGCCCCCTAGTGGTCCTTGAGTATATTGGTAACATTTCACATTTGAAATAAATAAATACATTAAAGTTTCCCGCACTCTCGCGGGAATATCTCCGCAATGGAGCGAGCTTAAGTTTCTTTCGATTGCATGATATAGCCCAGCGCAACACCTTCATCACACATGCCACTTGTTTGTACAATTTGCAGGCGATTTGTAATCTGTTCTAGAAAAACGATGTGATTTTGGATATTTGTGGAGTTAAGTGGTCCGCGAGTGTTTTTTTATTGGTTAAGTGGTCCTTGGTGTGAAAAAGTTTGAGAAACACTGATCCAGGCAGATGAAACTGATAAACGTGCAAAATATCCCGAAAATCTGTGCATCTAAATATTTTAAATAACATTACTAAAACAAATATACTATATTTGGAAATGGCAAGCTAACCTTGAGGGGAAGGCTGTTAAAAAGCAGAAGGCTGATAACCTACAATCACCCTTGGTTTCCATTGTGGTCAAGAAACAGCTAAAAGGTTTTGATCAGCTGATCTTAGGGGCTTGGCTGTAAGGTTGGGACATTATTTAATGTAACCGCAAGCTATACCACGGATGGCCATGTAGGTAGTTTATATCAAACTGAATGTATATTTCTACATAACTTACTTGTCAACCTCTCGTTGGCTCATGGCAGCAAATACAAAGCACTCCGTTACACCATTCACAGCGAGAAGGAGAACATAGCTGCTGTAGAATCGCAGCAAAGTGGGCCCTTAAACCAAGAAGAAAAACAAACAGAGAGCCGTGACTAAGAACGCTATACAAAGCTAATTTTGTCACATATATCCAATACAACGAGTTGGTTGAGGCTCTGTTACCTGCCCCACTGCTTAGCAGCGAGCCACCATAAAGGTCCAGAGCCAAGTGAGAGTAGGCGTAGCCGAACACTGAGATGATCAGACCGACCACCAGCACCAGTTTCAGAAGACACTCCAGGACCTCTGCTGCAATCGCAACGTCTTCCTGAAAAAGAAACCCACGACATCTAAGTAACCCAATGCTTCATTTCGTGGAAGACTTATTTTTGATTATTTTCAGGAATCACACCTGTTTCTGACTTTTGACATCACGTCCCCGCTCCAGCACTTTGGCAAAGAAGATATAAAAGCTTTCCTCGATAGGCAAGAAGATAAAGCGAGCCACCATGGAGCCCAGATTGTTGACGATATCATAAACTCCCTGGTCTCCGAAGCTGAGGACATTTAAGAAGGTCATGACGTAGCGCTCTCCCTCTGTCAAGATCTGCTTTAAGAAGGACTGCTTGAAGAAGCTCCATGTGAGCTGGGCCAGACTCCAATCAACCAACGGCTATGAACAGAGAACAAGATGAGCATTAGTACTGTATGGTAACACTTTTAACTTCCAGGTTGGTTTTATAAAAATAGATTATGAATATTAAATAGTGCTTTATTGAGTTGCCGTACTACCTCTCCTTTTGCTCTACGGGGCAAGAGATCTTTGACACTGTGCAGGGGGAAACCCTTCTCCTCTGCTTCTTTAGAGCCCAAGAAACGAATGAAGTAAACAGCGTAGCACAGCACCAGGAATCCTGTGTACACCAACTAAGAAAAAAACGGTTAAAATCATTGCATACAGAGTTAGTTATTACAGGAATAATGGGTGATTACCAGCAAATGTCTTACGTGAGCAGCAGAGAAGATGTAAAGGCCCCATTCACGGGCAAACATCACCATCACCACAGTTATGCTGCACTTAGCGATCATTGCTAAACTCTCAGCGACCACTTTCAGACGGACAAACATGTGAGCTTGGGCCAGGACCCAGAGGGGCTCGGCCAGGAGCTCCTGCACTCCTGACAGAGCAAATAGCACCACAGCAGGGCCGTAGTAAGGGATGGTCTGGGGGTCCGGGACCTCTAGCAGCCACAGCCATACACAGATCAGCAGGGCAGCCCACAATGCACCAAGAGGCAACCTGAGAGGTAAGAAAGACAACACAAGACACGCAGGAAAGCATCAAAGCTTAATAATGTGTTCTACTTTCAGACATTAACTTACATAAAACACTCCCAATAAGAGGTGAAATTGTATTATCGTTATAATGATTTTGCATCTTTATTATCGTGCAGTAGAACTAAACCAAATTCACAAGTTTAGAAGCACTTTACCCATTTCATAAAAGCCAACTCACGTCAGCCATAGCAGGTTGATAACTTGTCTCCAGCTGTGGTTCTTCCCAGAAACCCCACTTAGACAGGCTCTCCGGAAAGCTTCTCTGGATAGAAACACTAATGTGGAGTACAGGAGTGTAAGCCTGCACAATAAAGACACAGACACACAATGTTACAGCAGCTGATGCATTGCAATGTGTTGGCATTGTGCTATTTTTCTTATATAGGCTGGTTGCCCTGTTCTCACAACTCAGCACCTGTCAGCATCCTTACCTGACGTTGACAACACCTATCAGTTCTTTGGACACAAACCGCAAGGTAAATGCATTCAGGAAGAAGGTGAGGACACGGAACATCACCTAAGATAGAACACATTATATTAGTCGTCGGTAAATGTAACACACTGGGCTGATATATCCCGACTGTGAGCCCCCTGTACCTGTAACAACACATTATACGATGCAAGAGTGGATGCATTCTTCAGTACATCCTGAGAACTCATCCTGGACTTCCTCTGACTCGACTTAAAAGCGTTAAGTCAACAACTTATCTGCTGCTTTCTACAAAGAAAACTCAATATGGAGTCATGCTGTCAACCCCGTCTGTGGTGGCAGCTTTAAAACGTATAATGATAGCGCATTAATCCTAACGAAAAGTTTGAAATGAGATGTGGTGAACAGCAGCAGAGGCTAGAAGCAGCATACTAGTAGTAACACTTCCGTACACATTTTACGGAACTACGTTGCGCGGTGACGTCAGAGAGTGATACGTCCAATGAGGTGTCGCTAGAGGGCGTAACCTTCCTTTTAATCATCTATTGTAGGTCAGTGAAGTCTGACAGAAAAGGATAAATTACTTGATTCTTGTAATAACTTGCAGTGTTGGCTGCTTAATATGTATCTTTTGGAGATAAAAATAGCACATAAACTCATATGCATTTATGTTAAGCTAAACTTAAACTATTCACCATTTCCTTTTTATTTATAGATTAATGG